AATAAAAAAAAAAAAAAGCAAGATGCCGATTTAGACTTTCTTTTAGATACCCCTCATTTTTGGCTCTTTTTTTTTTTTTTTTTGTTAAGTCTTGAGTAATTTCGAACAATGGAAAACAAAAGGGATAATTTCTTCATAAAGCCCTTGGTATCTACAAATAATAATACAAATACAAATTTTTAGTCGTAAAGCGCCTTTTGAAATCTTTGAATGTCCTTGTGCAGCATGATTGAATGCGCTGAATGGTAAAAATTAATTTAAAAGTCTAATAATATGTTTCATTTTTGCTCAAATGAAATTTCAATGGTTGCATGTTTGCCTCTAGGTGGCAGTAGAGGCCAATTTTAGTGCTCATGTATTTGTGGCCGTTCACTGCAGCTTTGGTCAAATACTTTAAAAAAAAAAAAAAACAGGAACTGCTGAATAGTGAACGAAATGCAGTGATCTGTTGTTAAGATGAAATCATTCATTTGAATGAAATTCTTTCCCAGGAGATCGGGGTTAGATGTCACATGGGGAAGGGCTCCATCTCAGTCACTATCAGGTTTTAAGTAAAAAGTCCAGTTACACAGTTGTATGTTTTCTCTAGCAGTGGTTTTGAATGTTGCTTTCTAACACCCGTGTAAGTCAAAACTGTCCTAATTCTGAATATTGTTTATGAATTCCCTCCTCCAAACTAAAATTTCCATTTCAAAATTTAAATGTGTTTGTATTTTTTCTTTAGCTGTTTGGTAAGTGAATGTAATAAAACTATATATATATAATAATACAATATGACACCTTATATAATGTGTGTACTTATATAGAAATTGCCTTTAAAAAATAAAACCACCCATGAAATGTTTACTGTAATAAAAGTGTGACAACCAGCCCCAATCTCCATATATCTCTTTCAATTCATGGATAGAGTGATGTGCATTAAAACCTGTAATTTTGTTTAAATATGAGTAATGGACATGTGTGTTTTTATTTTGCAGGTTTCCTGGTCCAGGGCTAAAGAAAGTCCATCCACACGGCTCAGAATCCAGACAAAAGCCTCCTGAACCCGTCATCAGCCAGATCATCGACAAACTCAAGCACATCAATCAGGTGAGTTACTGTTTATCAGAAAACATGCACACACTTTTTTACATGTGAAGTTTTTTACAGTGCACATCTGTGAATAATCATACACTGCCATGCTGCCAGTCAGCACACAGACATACAGCCGTACATAAACTCATCACCTCTGTTTTAACTCCGTCACAACAGTCTGCCTGTCATCACACACACAGATGTACATGTCTGCACTCTGTTTTATTGCAGTGCAGTCTTGTAGATTATCAGGATGTGTGATAGGGGCTGCTGCGATCTAAAGGATGCCTCTTTTTGTGCTTCCTCTGTACCTGGAGGATGTGTGTTTTTGGCTGGGTTTAAATGTATGTTGCAATGCAACATTATTGTGAATATCTATGAAGCTACAGTTAGTAAAGCTCAATCCAAGTGTGTGTGTGTGTGGGTTATTGGCACATTTTGTCTTGGAGTTTCACCCTTACTTTATCCCTTTTTCATTTACAGTTTGATACATTTATTCAGCAGATTTTTTTTAAGCAAATTAAAATGAGGAATACAGCATACAGCGAGAAGTGCTAACAAAAGTCTAAAGTAGTCAAGGCAAGAACAGGGAGATATTTAGTGAAAATAGGTGAGTGAAAGAGACGAGTTTAAAAAAAAAACTCAACTTAAAACCCAACTTAAAGGGATAGTTCACCTTCAGTTGCTGGTCCCCATTGACTTTCATAGTGCGGAAAAACTGTTTGGTTACCAACATTCTCCAAATATCTTCTCTCATGTTCAGCAAAGGAAAGAAATTCACACAGATACGGAACAACTTGAGGGTGAGTAAATGATGGCAGAAATGTCCTTTTCTGGTGAAGAATCCTGTAAATATTATAAATACTATAAAAAATACTATTGGAAATAGTGTGATGTTTGTATAATCAGTCTTAGACTTCCATTGTAATTGTTTTCCATTCTTTTTACAAACTGGGTGATGAATCAAAACTATTTCCTTTAGTATTAAACTTTAAATTCTATTTACCCCAGAAAATTTCTTGAACTGCAGACATAGAATTAGTGTTTCATTTTCCTCCTATTCAATAGGAAAAATGTATCTGTGTAAGTCACATGATCTGGTTCTCACAGAGAAAAACAACCGATCATAATACATGATCAATAATATATACAACAATAAAACAGCAGTAACTTTATCAAAGCAACATCCTCCTATAAATTAAATGCTCAAATACTTGTTAAACGAATCTGTTGCTTTGAGGTCAAGACATCATCTTCTTGGCTGTGAGAATGACATCCTGAAATGACATGTTCAGGCACGCAACCCTTGACCCCGAGGGGCGTCTGCTACTCCTCATTAATGCAAACCCACAGCTGCAGAGTGACTGGCTCACACACACGCACACATGTTCACAGACAGACAGACTGGCAGTCTCTGTAGAGGTGTGTGCGGACCCCTCCTCTGCCGTCTTATCCTCCCAATGGGGATCAGCAGAGCTATTTCCAGCATTGCAGCGCTTTAACAGCTCCCGGAGACTATGCCCAAAATAGCACACACAGGCTCGCTGACTGACACAGCATTCACACACAGAGCGAGAGAAGGAGAGGGAGGGAAAATGTGCAGAAAGACAGGGTGAGACATGGACAGGAATATCAAGTGATCACCATAGAGAAGTGGGGATCAGAGCTGTAGATGTTGACTGCACATGCTCACTCTAGCGGTCTAAGTGAGCCTGTTTAGAGTGAAAAAATGAAACTAATAGAGCAGAGCAAGGCTCATTGGCTTACAACCGAGCTGTAGAGCACTGCATCTTCTCTTGCCAAAGTTCAGGTATCGGCAGGTCACCCCAGCAGAAGTACTCCTGCCAGGTATCCACAGAGAAAGTAACATCAGACCGTATGCAACAGCCTGAATCCTGATTTCTAGGAATGGAGTTGACTGACTAGAAATACGGGAGATCCATTAGATTATGGATTCCTTGTAAGTGGACTTCAAGTCACCGGCCTGCTTAACCTGAGCCCTCGTGCTGCCCTCTTCTGTGTTAAAGAAATTCGTGGCTAGTAATAGTCTTACTCAGATTTGACGATCTAGGAAAGATGGGGATTAATATACGTTAATATCCATGCAGGACAACTGGACAATGACACTTTGAGTATTTATAATGGTACTGAATGGTTTCAATATTTAGGGTTTTCTGTGTATATACTCTGGTAATCCTGAGAGAACAGCATCTGGCTCATCCACAGGAAGTTCACTGGGCGATCTAAAGGATGCCTCTTTTTGTGCTTCCTCTGTACCTGGAGGATGTGTGTTTTTGGCTGGGTTTAAATGTATGTTGCAATGCAACATTATTGTGAATATCTATGAAGCTACAGTTAGTAAAGCTCAATCCAAGTGTGTGTGTGTGTGTGTGTTATTGGCACATTTTGTCTTGGAGTTTCACCCTTACTTTATCCCTTTTTCATTTACATTTTGATACATTTATTCATTTAGCAGATTTTAAGCAAATTAAAATGAGGAATACAGCATACAGCGAGAAGTGCTAACAAAAGTCTAAAGTAGTCAAGGCAAGAACAGGGAGATATTTAGTGAAAATAGGTGAGAATTTTTTTAATTCTACTTAAAGAAAAAACTTTTTTATTGTTATTCTGTTTGTTTTGTTTGCTTTATTTTGTTTTTGTTTATTACTACTTGTTAAAACGATTTTATTTGATTTCTTCTTTGTCCTGTTTTGTTTTGTGTGCTTCTGTTTGTGTGTTTGTTTTTACTATAGACTGTTTTTGTTGTTGTTGTTGTTCTGCTTTATTTTGTCTATTAATAATGCCTGTTAACACCATTTGCACTATTGTTATTTAATTATTTTTATTTAATCTTGTTAATTAAATAAACTTAATTTCTTTTAATTTTTAATTTTACTTTAAGTGAGAAATAAGAGAGTGTGTGGGGTCCTGTGCATATCTTGCCTTAAAGCAGAATCTGAGCGGATTAGCGCAGCGCTCTTGTTTAAACAGACCACAGAGACATCAGAGCAGCTCAGATGAGTTGTGGGTCTCGTCTGCCCTCAGGCTGTGGAGAAGGGCTGTGGGGTCACGCCTGCCATGGGACAGGCCCTCATTTTCTCAGTTACTCTACAAACAGACCTTCTCTTCTCTTCTCTTCTCTTCTCTTCTCTCTTCTGACCTTCTTCCCATCTGTTTCTTCCTCCTGTGCAGATCCTGTGAAGTGTCCAGCTGTTGTTTTAAGACACACTGTCACGTAATTTATGTACATGACAATAATTTGCACACGATCAAAATGAAGACGTACCCTAGACCTCTATTGTACTCTGTCAAGTGTATTATAAAGAGAGGAAGAAACATAATTAAACAATGTCACACTTGCAGGGTTGCGAATTCTGATGTATGTAGTGTTTGTGTACACACACACACACACACACACAGACAGATGATATAGATCTAGTGACTGTATGATGTCAGTGCTGCTCATGTCTGGTAAACAAAACGCAAGTGCATTTCAAAAGACCTCTATGGCATCTGTGCACCACCACAGATATACACATCCCCTATATACACAAACAAATGCGTAGACACATGTTTTCTTTCATGTCATAGACTTCCATTGTTTTTCTTTAGGTTAGTGCTATATGCATTGACTGATCAGTTTATATGCCTTTTTAGCTAGTGAGGTCCAGCTCATTAGTCTATGTTCAACAAGTTTCACTATATTAGTTTTTGAACAGTGAAGACCTCACAAGTACAGTCATGTAGAATAAGATGTTTGTGTGGGTTGCTGATTAAAAGTCTTTACTATGGCATTCTCTGACAAACATGAGAATAGTACTGCAGTCAAATCATTTAAAAGTGCACAATGTCCTTAATGAAGTAGAACGGGACAAGACATAACAATTTCCAACCACATAAGCAACAAGCCGATTTCACAGAAATCAAAATGTTACCTAATTAAGCCCCTTTCACCATGATAGAGACTGTTTAAATGATTCATAAATGATTCATAATTTATATAATTCATGTTCATTTAAAGTTTCGGCTGATGGAGACGGAGCTCCAGTGAGTCTACAAAGTTGAGAAAAGTTTAACTTTATGCAAAGAAGCAACTTCTACCAATGTTTTTTGGTTCATGCATTGATAATCCCTCATCGTGTTGATGCTGCTGCTATTTATATTCAAATCTTTCCCCTACAAAATATTAAATTAACATGAAGAAAACGATTCTTTGTCAAAACAGAGTGACATACTATTTACTAACCATCAATGGCACGTCTGTCTCTTGACCTCCTTCGATTATGTCAATGTAAACGAGGCTGGTAGTGTTTCCTTTACTTCACCAGCAGAAACTCAAACATGTTTTAATCAAATGTTCAGTTTAACGTAAGCCTGTGATAATAGTTTACATCTGGTGTTATCTGGCACCGTGCTAATGTGTGTTCTCATTTGTTTCCAATAGCTGGGGGTTTGAGTTCTTTCCCAGAGCGGACAGACAGAACACTCATATCAGACTTTTCCTAGCATTTCAGAAAGCCAGTATCTCATCTTCTAGCCTGGGAGGCTTGGTACTTTAAGTATGTGCTACACTTTCTAAGTGTTCTCCAGCAGTTGTAGTTCTATAAAACATTTTGGGTGTGGACCCATTTGATTTTATGGAGCAATAAGATTTTTGGAAGCTCTTAACAGTGTTTGAAATATTTCTGTTCCCGGGGCATATAGCGTGACAAGCCTGTGTCCCAAAGAGGGTTAGTGTAGCGGCGCTAGAGATGGCTTGTTGGCTCAGATTTGGGCCTCTTCTGAAAGAGAGACACCGGGGAGCGCACTGAACACCAAAAGACAAAACTTTACCCTCCCTCAGCTCTGCAGACCCCATTTCTCACGCCTAATGCGGCTGATGTAATGGCTGCACGGGGCCATGTTTAGAGTAAGCTCGTCTCTATAAATGAAAAAAATGACTTGGTGCTTAAGCTATTCCACCTGGGCAAGTGCTCAAAGAGTCTGTGTGTTTTTATCTGCATGCCTAAACATGA